AATTCAACACATGGGAGTTGGTTATTCAAAGCAAGGTCATTTTTCTATGGATGTTTTATTGATTTTATCCGTTAATTATTTTATAACTAGTTAGAGTTCACAAGATGGTCAGTCTTTTGTACATTTACCGAAATGTCAATAAATGATCAACATGATTAACAAAAGCGTTCTTTGTGATAAAAAATGTCTGACACTTTTGTCTATGAATAAACAGATGCAATTATTATAAGCGTACAAGTTATCTTCAGCACTTTATTTTTATCATAGAATTTCATAACTGAAATTTATTCAATGATAAATTTTTGTAGGTATTGTCTAATAATAAGAGATGAGTCAGAAGACGTTGCGTTAAGAAATGTTTTAAAAAAATGTTCTTTCCATTAAATGTTTGGTTGAATTTCAGTAGATTACTTTCCAAATGCTTGTATATAAAATTAAGACATTATTTCAGAAAATTGAGACGAAGGTACTGTTGTAATTAATATGAAAGTTAATTACAGTTATATAACATATAGCAGATGTGATTAGTGAACAAATATCATTGAGGAAAATGCAATTTACCAGTTACAATTATTGATCATTGTTGAATAATCAAATGCTAAAATAATCTTAATTTTCATTTTATTGTACGTCAGTGCAAAAACATGTATCATCAATCGAATGATTAGCACATTGTCAGTAAAAAATTAAGAGTTGTAAACATGAATCCGCTTCATATGAGGTGAGAAATGCTGGAGTGAAGACTAATATCCGTTTTGACATAAAATTAGTTTACAGGAATAACTAGGTCAAACAACAGAACACCAGTATCTATAAGGGCTTAAATTAGACGATTTGATAGAGACACTTTTGTCGATGCCCCAGTGAATTATGTGCTTACTTATAAAGCCTAATTAATGGCTTTTTGTTATTGAAAGACCAACAGAAGCAAATACAGAAAGACCAGAAAACAAACCAGCTGAGGCATTGAAAGCTGATGTAACAGTGATTATGAAAATACTCCACATTTTTTTCAGCAAGATTTGACAAAAAGAACTAGTACGGACTGGTTACAAAGATGGACACCTCATTAGGATACTAAAGAAAGAATATCTCAGCATGTGTGAAAAATACAGGATCATTACTTTACTTTAAATATCAGAAAAATTCTTCAAGAGAGTGCTGTTAAACCGAATGAAAGATTCCGTAGACTCTCAACTTTGCGATCAGCAGGCTAGATTACGTAAGGATCAATCATTTACCAACCAATCATTGTGGAACAAAAAGCATCATTGATGAGCAAGTTGGACCTGATGCAGATGTGAAGATACGCATTGGCAAGCAAGGGCAGTATTTCTACAAACGAAGAACATTTGGGACTCAAAACACCTATAGACCAGCACCACAGTAGAAATTTCATTGCAAGTGTCAATACAGTTACACTGTATGGGGTGGAAACTTAAAGAACCATGAAGGCCATCATGTACAAGTTACAAGTGTCTGTTAACAGCCGTCCACTCAAAATAATTCGGATTCGTTGGCCAGACACCATCAGCAAATTTCTAATGTGGGAGAGAACAAAAGAGATACCAGAAGAGGAAGAAATCAGGAAAAAGCGGTGGAAGTGGATAGGATGCACAGTGAAGTAAGCTCCCGAATGTGTCACAAGACAAGCCCTCATTCGGAATCCTGAAGTCTAAAGGAAAAGATGTAGACCATAGATCACACTATGCCGAGAATCAGAAGTGGACATGAAAAGAATGAATGGCAGTTAGGTCGGAACTGGAAAGAAAGGTCAAGAACAGATTTGGTTGGAGAATGCTGGTGGATGACTTATATTCAATCAGGGGTACTAGGAGTACGTAAGTTAGCAAGTTGTACCAGACTTTGGACAAATTAATCACTTCATTCTTCTCTAGGTACTTACACACCTTTCGAACTTTTAAACTATTCCTCAACATCGCGATTGTTTTTATTCAAGTGTGTGTGTGCATTCCTAGTTTGCTTGTTACATATCTATTCTTTTTTTCCTGACTGCAAATACTCAGTCATGCCCCATCACACTGAGTTGTCTTAATCACCTTCTCTAATTCGCTTCGCTCTGCTTCTGCGCTTTATATTCTCATGTCTCTCTGCCTGAAAGATCGCATGAAATAAATTCATACAACTGAATCCGTATTTGGCTTCTCATTACCGCTGTCACAGAAACGGCTTTCGCCTAAACATTATATACGGAAATCAAAGGAAATGTTTATTTTTTAGTATATTCAATCGTTCATCCAAATTGAGAGCAGATCAGGCAACTAATGTGTACATATTTTTATTATATACTTACTTTCTAAATATTCATTGTCATAAAGGTTAGCTGTTCAGTCTTGGGGAATTAGGAAAGTTTGCTGGTTACTGTTTTGATCCTTGCAGATTATGTTACGTTGAAGATAAAGTTTCTCCTTGAAAGTTTTCAGTGAATGGATTAATAAAACCTGTTCAGGTACAGCGTTCTTGTTACTGACCATTCGATAAAAAAAACCAGTCCCCATTATCAGTTTATTTCATCGCCGTTTAGAGACGTTTCAATTTTGAACTCTGCAATGATAAGTTCTAGTGCAGGCAAAATGATGAGTCGTATTAACACCTCAATCGTTAGTTAAGATACATAATCGCAGTGGTATGTCAATGAAGATATACACCAGCTGCTTGGATACAATAGTCTAGTTGGGGTCTCGAATACGTGCAATATAAAAAATAAAACAAATTCTCGTCGAAGCACTTGAATGCTCGGCGAAGTGTCCGTAACTCTCGAAGACCATTGATAGTCAGTGAGTTGAAATATGCAGTTGTTTCCAATTGATTTGTAACTGTTAGTCATGAGTTTCTTTACTACTGCACACGTGGAATCGATGGACCGATGGTAATAGCCGGCAATCGTTGCGATTTTCGATATACATTAGCACATACTTCGTAAAATTGACTTCTAAACCATTTATGTGATCAGTTTGCGGGTGAAGATTGTCAGCCTGACTATTCACTATTTTCCAGATTTCAACATCATCTGTAGACGACAATGTTGACGAGTGAAGCAGCCTCGACAATTAGTTTTGTTGTAAAAGAGACAGTGGAGGCCTAAGACGACACCTTTTGTGTACTTCAAATTTAGCCGGTCTCCTGTGAAGTAGTGTCATATCTAGTTCTATTGGCTGTACTGGCCACTAAAGTTTCTTATCCACTATTGTGTAGAACCTGTTATCACGAAGTTCTACATCCTCTGAATAAGCCCTAAACGAGGGACCCTATAAACTACTTTACTGGAATTTATGAACCTCTGTCCAACTCTCTCTCTCACCATTAGCAGGGTCATTAAGTGTGTATACTGATTTCGAAACCCATGCTGCTAATCAAGTTGGAAGAATGTATGACTTGGAAACTGAACCTGGATGATTTTTTTAAATAACTTGACTATTATACTGGTAAGACTAATATGTTGGTAATTCGATAAAATCTGTCTCTTTCCACACTGATATATGGAAGAATTGATAGCATCCTTTCACTGCACGAGGAGTTGACTTTAGTAAAGAACATTTTGATCAGAATCACGAGTGCTTCTGAAACAGTATACAAGAGAATGACAGTCATTGTCATTTTAACCTCTCTTAAACAGTTCGATAAGAATTCAGCTTTGACCATATCCAATACAACTGGTCTACTTTGATCTTCACTTGAAAATAATATAGGAATATCGTAATTACATTAAGTTCTTCTCCTTAGTTCGATTACAATTGTTTGGCGCAGGCAAGCCTATCATTTAACACCCACTTGTTGTGTTTTACATATTTAGTCTGAAAATTTCGGTATGTACACTTCACTGACTCACAAACCGTTAATATTAACAGTTTTCGGAAATATTTCATGCTCCAAAACAGCTTCCGCGTTTTCATATGAATCCATGTAGGGTAATTTATAGCTTACGTCTTGGCTATGTAACAGGCAGTGGTGCAGTGACCTAAAATATGGCGTTCGGCTTACCACACTCATTTTCACTCAACCCATCCTCATAGACAACTGAATATATTGAGATAACCCAGTGTCTTTTGGGACTAAGTTCTCAATATCGGTGACATCACCACAGTTGTCTAAAGACAAGTTCCATAGATCATAGGCCGTGCTCGAAGTCAGTGTATGCTGGTTCTGTGCTACATTTAACCAGTAAGCATTCGGTAAATGTTGATAGCAGGCTACAATGGAAACATCTATCTGAAGTTGTAGGCCTTATTGAGTTGGTGTGTTGCGTGTTGAAATTCTCATTGATGAGACAAAAATAAGTGTTATCTCACAATCATGTATGACCCGAGAGAAGGCTGTCAACGAGACATCATGGACTACGGTATACTTCACTTTGTTCAGTCACCTGTATCTATATTTGACCGTATAGTTAGCTACCTCACATGCGCCGCTATCGCACGCCTGTGATCTATAACGTATAATAACACGTATATAGCCTGACAACTCATAACTTCATTACCTGAGAAACTAAACGAAACATCAGGCCTTACTTTGAAAGACCCAACAGTGACGGCTTTTAGCATGGCTTCATGTTGGTAGCTTGTCTAATCACCGCTCCCGATAACAGGGAGGTCAGTAAAAATTATATTCGAGCTCTCTAGATTTCTGTTATAAGTAAATATCTAATCATGTATTATTTGTTGATAATAGGGTTTCTGTTATCAAGCAGATCAAAAGCTATCGTTCTAAAATTCATTAAAATAATGAAAACGCTAAACAATTATTTAGCTTTGTTCATGATTATCATAACTCATATAAGATTTAATATGTATGGAATCAAATTTATCTAGGTTACTGTTTCAATAAAAGCTTGTTAGTTATACATTTCATAAATGTATAGATCAAAACATTTAGATAACTGCTTGTACTTAAGATTCCTGGAATTCCTTTCAACTTTTTCATGCAATGATAATGATGCAGAAAGCAGTGACACAATTTATCGTCACAGTATGCCGATTATCCTGACATTACTTTTGACACCTATCATGAAAGCTGAATGAGAGAGAGTTTTTCATGTAGTCCAGCCATTATAAAATAATGTTTTCTTGAATTTCAGCAAAAAAAAGCATCACTGATTATTTTAGTAGCGAATTTACTTTTTTTTTGGTGAAGCAAACAACACGTACGAGATAATTGTTTACAAAATTGTTAGACAAGACAATGTCCATCACTATGTCATATTACTGATAGCTAAGTAAACAGAAACACATTGTGAATATATGAATGAAATGATAATTTTAAAGGAATTAACTTCTGTTTTTTGTAATGAAAAGTTGATGAAGTTTGAGTATGTTTCTATAATCATTATCAATGATTGATGAGTTTTACTTTAGACGACAAGTACATTTAGTTATTAATTATATAACTTTAAAAAGAATCATTTCAGATGATCTGTTAGTTCATGTTGAAAAATAAATGGCAATTATTAAGATGGAATGCAATGTAGTAACTGGGCGCCTATGATGTTCAACAGTGTATAGTCTACAGAATATTAATACGATAGTATTCATCACTCGATGCGTAACCACTGGTATATACGTGTACCATTACGCGAGCCTGCATCATTCCAAAATGAAAGCCCTTGACTAGAGTGACATGAAGGTGGTCTGTTAAAATCTTTAACTGAATCACTCTGGAAACCGTAATCCCCGAAATGACATTCACCGACAGCATTTATAATACGTGAACTAGTAATTCCCATCTGTTTCAGTTGATTCAAGCATTCATAAGGTAATAAATCTGAAATCGGTAGTTTACCTTTAATGTATATCGTTATACCATGTTTAACTGCTAAATGTCTACCTACAGATTTTTTCACTGTAGGTAAACTAAACTGAACAAAACAATCATCCAGTGTGAAATTGTTTGATTTTGTCTTGTTGGTTTTCGTTTCAGTTAATTTGTTTTTTATTGCATTGTTTAAATCTGTTTCGTTATGTTTTGAAGCTCTGCGAGAATGATGATTGAATGTTGTGGCCTTGATTGCTTTAATTATATGACCAGCATTAATTAAACAAGCATGCACTGTCATTTCATCTGAAAACAAAATGGAACATTATAATTATAACATTTGTGGTCGAATGCCTATTGAAATTTTCTGAAAAGGTTTCTTTTTAAGAGATATTTAATTAGTGCAAAACAGTTTAAACAATAAAGGTAGAAATATATAATTCAAGTATATTTATCAATAATATGGTTTTTATTTGGGAATTTACGGGTTTTACTTCCCTTACTTCGATCAATCACTTTTAAGTATATTGGTTTCTAGGCCACGGATCTGTGTTTTGTAATCACACATGCTAAAGTCTGAAGAACTACTAGCCAGAAAAGATTTTTAGTGAATTCAATATACCAAGCATCATAGATATTTGATCTATAGTTTGCTGCAAATCAAGATCAAAACACCCATTTTTTAATCTGTTATCTTTGTTTACATTGTTTGAATGCTGGTGTGTTTGCATTGAAGCCATTCTGAAATGACCCATTATTTGGAAAATATACAAAGATCAATAATCATATTGTCCATGAAACAACACAGTCGTTGCTTGAGAACTATCTCATAGCTTGTCTATTGATTAAAACATTATTGATTTGTCAAGATGTTTACCTAACGTTCGAAGTGTCAAGGATGAAGTTAAACAAACAATGGAAGTAAATGAGATTCTTATCTTTGACCGCTCACTTTATTGGATGTAATCGTATCTCCAAGGATGAAGTCTCATCACCAAATAATTTTCTTTTAACGTTCTCTTCATCATATATATTTAACTTCAGAAGTACTGTGGACAGATGACAACTTATGACACATTTTCGTAACAGTCTATTACAATCTTGATTATCATCAACACTTTAAGGACTAATTCAATGATTTACATTGAGTGACTGCATGTGCATATTATCGAGGTAATTGTTCCTGTTCAGCAGTTTAGAAACAGAGAATTAAACGGAAAAAGTCCAGGTAGCTTACTTACTACTTACTACTACACATATGTTATAATCAGTAATTAAGTCATGATTAACTACTTGGAAGGTTCGCTAATCTGTTGTAGGGAACTGAAATATAACTGGTTACTGAGTGTGGACAAACAGGCATAAGCTTACTGATTATTAGATATGTGAATTCTTTTTTTCTTATTGATTTCTCTGGACTCATTGGAAGTAACCGCTTGTACTTGTGTGAAATATAGCATTATTTAGCGTTACTCTGGTTTCGTTCATTTTTTGGTCATAAACCAAGTAATTGATTTAACGTGATCCATTCCAGTAGTATTAAACACGATCAGCAGAGATAGGAAGACCAAAACTTTGGTAATAGTAAGTAAACTAAGCAATCAAAGACTTGCGGGTGTATTATCATACACTAATTCTCGGAACGTTGTTTTTGATCCTTTTGAATAAACTACGTACAAATTTTATTTGAAATTAGCATTGTCCATGCGATTACCTTGGCATTATATGTTAACGTTTTTGTATTTAGAAAAAAAGTGAATATATACCATAAAATATTTAATAACATTTATAATTACTTACAAGATCTGTTGCTCAACAAATTATTTAAATTCTCAATTCTCCATTTCCCAAATGAATGAAATTCTAAATTTCTTATTTCATGTATATGAATATTAACAAATCCTTTGTTTTGGTTACGACATATTGAAATCAACATATCTCCTGATAATCGTATTACCTAGTTAAAAATGTTTTTTTAAATGAAATAATAGCTTGTTTATTCATTTCACATATGGTTGAATTGTATATGATGGCACATGAAAGTATTATTTTTCTAATAATAAACAGATATAATTCTACAAGAAGGTACATTTTAAAACAATTAGTCCCTTTTATAAATTTTAATAGAACAGTGAGATCGATTACGTCTTCTCACTGTTCCATTAAAAGGTACATTTTAACGAAAGGTATGGTACTATTTTATAAATTTTTCATAAAAGTTATGATAAGAGAACAATCTGATCGAAAAATAATATTATATGGAGAACCGTTGAAGTCTACAGAAGACCAAGTAACAATTCTTATAATATTGCTATATAATCTGTTTTTATATGACTAGTAACTGTGTCATTCAAATCTGATCAAATACTTCGTAGCTTTCGATCTAAGCTATCAGGCATTTGTGTAAACATAAAGTACAGTTTTAATTTGGAGTAGTTATTCCTCTGCATAGGTTGCACTTTCCTACATATTCATGTATTTTAGTATTCATACTTCTATGTAACGTATTTATTGTGATTTAATTGCAAAAACTGAGTCAATCTGAATTCAAAAAATTTAGCCAGAGGCTAGTTCACATATTCACACACTAAACTGACATGAAGACGTTTGATACTTAACGTATTTTACTATTTACAATTATGATATACGTGGGATATATGTTTTAAGAGCAGTTAAAAATGTTCTACGAAAAGCGTAGATTTATTTCATGATAGTTTGTTTTAGAAAGTTTTTTACCAAATTTATTTTCATCCAAAGTTTGCACAGGAAATAGGAATATTATTACAATCTACATTCTCAGTCCATAAAAAGCTATGATTTACTTATAAGGATAATACACGAGTTTAAATAAACAAAATATCATGAAATGAATTTCTGGTAAATGTAATGACTGACATTCTATGATTCTGTACATAAGACACAAATAACATTAGGAAGTTTGAAAACTTATTGAGGTTGACTTATTTGCTTCGTCCTGCATTTCAAATTATTTACTGAGCATGTATTTATTAAGAATTAAACTAGTCTTTCATATGAATTATTTTCTTTTGTAATGCATAAATCGAAACGAAGTTATCTCTGTGCTAATATATTTAAAAATGTTTCAACTCAGTAAATTTAGACCTTGAATCAACTACACTGAATTACAAGACAAATTAACATTTGTTTTTTTCAACTAATATTAATGAATTGCTACAGATAACATTTATCTATATTTGATCTAACTTTCTCCATAAATTTCCCTAAAACAATTAAATCACTGAGACATTTAAACAACCGGAGTTCAAATTATTGTTTGATTATTGAATTTTTGTTGATATTATTATTCAGAAAAGAAGAACAAACAATTAATTATAATCATCAATCAATCATTGTTAGACCACCATTAGAAACCTGGAAGCACTGGACGGCCGTTTCGTCCTGGTATGGGACTCATCAGCAGTGCGCATCCACGACTCCTGCACCTTGCAGGATTCGAACCCAGGACCTTCGGTATTGTACGCGAACGCCTAACCATCGGACCACTGGGCCAGTATCCATCAGTGTTAATGTCTAACTCTGATTGATCTACAGATTTTGCGCGACCTCACCCATTTGTCTTTGGTAGTTACTGCCTACACCCGTCCAGTGCTTCCAGGTTTCTAATGGTGGTCTAACAATGATTGATTGATGATTTCAAATGTGTAAAAACACAAACCTCCAAAACTCTGCCCAAAAATTAATTATAAAATGTACCGATAACGTAATACATACGTAACTGAATAAATTTGTTTCGGAAATTTTACTTCTTGAATGTGAAGAAAACATTTTTAAATTAACACACATTTAAACAAAATAAAAAACAACTCAACATTGTAATCATGATACTGGCACATAAAAGGTGACCTATATGTGAAATAGTTGTGATATGTTCGCTTATCTATGGTTGAATGTGACTGACTGTTAGATTTCTAGTGTAGACAACATCATCACATCGGATGTATTTTTGGTATCATTGTGAATGAGCTAATTATGACTCAGTCAAAACTTTTCTATTTAGTACTGTATAATATAGTAATTTATGATGCTCTTCGAATACTAGGTTTTATTGTTAGTATGATCTTTTCGTATTAATTGGTCTTTCCAATACAAAATGCATCCAGATTGATATGAAAGTGTTTATCGTTTCAGTCGATGATGATATAGGAGATATTTTATGGCAGTTTTCTTAAGGATACTTAGTTTTGCTTTGTCATTCAATATGTGATGATTGTTCTAACAGCAAAAAAAAAACAATGTCAATATATGATATTTCTTTAAATAATATTCAGTTTAACTAATGATTGATGCTTATATTCATATAAAACAATTCAAGTTGCAACACAATAAAATGATTTAATTTCTTTCGTTTATTTAGCATCATTGCTGATTTGATTTTATGCACAAAGGATTCATGAAATGTTGAAATGTCTACGTTTCAGATGGACATAATAGCACAATGTTTAATAAGAAACTATGACAGTTTCTAATGTTCAATGATTATTTTGTTTTATTTGATACAATTCATAAATAAGCAAAAGTTTTGAATGAATGAATGACGTTGAGAAAAATAATAAGTTTAAATTCTAAAAACAATATTATTCACTAAGAAATAAAAATCAGCTGAAACAAAATCTGTCTGTAAATAGAATTATTTTTTATAGCTATTAAATCGTGATAGTTTAGCTGACATGTCAGCATCTTGAATTTAATTTAAGATAAAAAAGGCATATCTCACAGAATAATCTAAAGTGGCTTTCAATGTTAAATATTTGCTGGTTTTGGATTCATGACTGAATTTATATACTTTAAAACAATTAGGTTGGAGTTTGCAGTAACGTTGATTAGTTGCACTTATTAGCAAGAAATTATAAAATCAGACAATACTGTCAAACAAGCCTTATAACTAAATCATTTGATAGTTTGATGTACCAAATAGGAGTAACATTTATATTATAAGATAAATGTTTTGCCTGCTTTTTATGAGTATTCAAGTTGAAATCATTGATAATGTTTCAGAATTTTGTTTTCCACTCATCAATCTGTCTGATACTAATGTAGTTAATTGTTCATTACAAAAAAATATAGTTTTTACATCTCGAGTAATGGTCACTGATTAAAAGCTCAAAACTAAGTTCAACAAAATAATTGACTATTTCTTAAACATTATGTTAGTAAACTTAAACTATCTCATTTACAGTGAAATCACTTTTAACACGCAACTAAGCAATTCAACACTAATTTCTGGTGTAATCTAATTATTTTATGAAAAACTAAGCCAAATATGATCTTGTCGAAATCAAATCTGTTTTATATATATTCATTAACTTACTGGATAAGCTTCTTCAACTAGATACCACCCGACATGTTCAAATTCCTTCTGACCATTTGATAGTTCTTCTGTGGATATACTACAAGATCCATGATAATATTCTTTATCCCCAGACCATTTAGGAATAGATTCGAAAATTTCTAGTTTTATGTGTATTTTTGGTGCCTCATTATCATATGCTCCAGATATTGTTGAACATCTTCTTACTGGTATATTCATTGAAATTTCATTATGATTTAGAAATTGTGGACAACCAAATTCAGTTTCCCTACTATGAATGGTGAATGTTTGAGTGTTTTCGTTACTAGATATGATACAGTTAATAGTGAAAACTGTTTTATGCCATAAGCGAGGTGATAGCAGATTTTTCGCTGTATGCAATGTGACTATGATTTGTCCTTGGTTATTATCAACGTGTGAAAAATACTTCACACTAATAGCCATAATGCCAGCAGGGAATTGCATCCAGTCATATGTGATAAGAGGTGGAAGTCGTTTAACAAGAACTTTTTCTTGATCAATATCTGTATTCAACAGTAAAGTCTCGTTTGTGTTCAATGCACTGAAAAATGAAGCAGAGTTTCCTATTTTAATTTGTTTTCCAGCAGACGAAGGTGAAGTAACTGGATGTAAAGTTTTGTCATCATCCATAAGTTCTGAATCATCTTTGTTTGTGGTCCCAGCTACTGTGGAATAAGACAGAAAGCTATTTCGGCGAACATACCTCGGGTCTTCTATAAATGATCCCGAAGTACTAAGCATATGTATACCATCATTCTGTAGGTTTAAGTCACTGTCCAGCTCAGCCTGTGTGTCAGTTATGGTTATTGAAATTGGAGCATCTAACAGCCTTTTAGATTTAGATGAACGATTGTCGAGAAGCTCATAGTCTGTTGCTGAAGCTCTGCGTGTAACTATCGGGATAGTAAGACACATATTTCCTTGATTTAAAGCATGCATTTCGGTATTATCAGTTGATAATCGTGTTTTCTGGCTTCTGCTTCGATCGGAAGAAGATTGACTTGACAAATCCGAAAAATGTTGAGGAATAACGTGCGGTTCCAACTTTAAAGCTGTTACTGACTTAACCGTTTCACAGGAATTTTTCTCACTACCGGCTAAATGAGAATGATGGATAGGGATGTTGGTTTTTGACAAGTTTGTTGAATTCAATAGCTTAGAATCTTTTCTTTGATCAGAAAATACAAAAACATCATGCATAGATTTTTTTCGAAATCTATTTTCTTGTGAGTGAAGAGGTAGAGTTACACAACTTCCTTTTCTAAAGTTATCTTTATTTAACGTCGTCGTCGCTCCGTAGAGTTTTTCAGGTTGAAATCGTAAAGGTAATGATGGTGGTTCACCGTTATTTTCGCTTTGTTTTTGACCGAAGGATTTTGAATATTTTGATGAAGATTCACTATCATTTATAGAACTTATCGCAAGTGCTTCAACAACAAAACAGAAATAATGTATGATGTAATCTTTTATTTCTAACTTGGATCTGTTTGAAGAATCTAATCGTTTATGATAAGAACGCCTTTTTCGATGAAACCATGCTGTATGTGTTAAAGCTGTGGCTAAAAGTATCAGCACAACTGAGCATAATAGAATTGCTCCGAGTACAAATAATAAAATTTTAACTATGGAACTTTTGATCCATACATTCTCTGTATTTTGATCTTCATTAATTTGCACTGTATTGATTGCTTCATTTAATGGATTCTGTGTAAGTGGCATATTTCATTTGTTCATTGTCTGAAGTGTTTCTATTTATGGATAAAAAAGTAACGATTCATAGCTAAAAAATTTATTTATTCACTCTACCAGACACTTTTTCCTTGCTAACGCAAATTATAAACTATGAATAGTTTCATTAATAGTGGAGATTTAAAGTTTGTTTTATAGAATTGTCACCTAATCGATTTGAGTTTCGTCATAACCTCTACGAAATAGATTTATACAAAGGAAAGCTCACATAGGGAATTGAACAATACAGTTTATAATGAAATGTATGTGAACTGAACTATCTCATCATTTTATTAAAATATGATTTCACACAAAATTCAAACCTTTCGTACTTTTCTCTATTTAAAGTTCTGTTCTTTATTAAAAATTATATACATTGTAAGTTAATTCATAACTTCAAATTGATATTTCTCACAAAATGATAGTGAAGAAATATTAACAGAACTATAAAGATTGATTTTCATTTTTAGTTTCTTAAGATTACCGAATATTTTATCCAATTTAATTGTTTTTCATATACACCAGCCAGAAATCAGTATTTGATATGACCGCTAAAATCACTCATATTGTTGCAGATACAATCATCTTATATTTTTCAATAGAAACGTTGAACTTTGTTATGGAAGAAATTGTTAATTATTTCAATTTTCCAGATTATACTAAACCTATAAGTTGTACAGCCTTCAGTATTTCTGAAGACTGAATTTTAAGATCTTCATATATTCAGCTCTTTTGATCAACGTTTGCAAAGCAAGAACAGCTAATCCCACAAGCTGAGATAAAGTCACTATGGTTTTAAATCATTTACATATTCACTACCTTCAGCGAAAAGAAACATTTAAGGTAATAAGATTATGCATGAAAAATGCATGTAGAAATTCAGTTAACTGGTGAGAAAATATCATAATTACTTTAAGCAAGCAAATATATTATTCATCTTGTTTTATAACAGAATATGCATGAGAGATCATGTGTCCGTCGACTACAAAAAGGAAATGTAATAATTATTTATAAACGGGTGAACGAAATAACGAAATTAATGGTCATTACAAAGCTAGTGGTGATCACGTGACAAATAATACGACTAATGAGGACAATAATCAGTGATAATCAAAATCAATGATGTTATGTATGTTGTTTGTATACTTCATGAAATTTAACTTCTACTTGTTCCAGTATCAGTGTTTAGTCGATTGAATAAGATTTTAATAAATAATTTTTTCTCAAAACATTATTTAAGAAAAAAACCTTGAAACAACAAAGTATAACTTTTAATGTAAGGAATTTGTTGATTTTAGAATTTAAAAAAGAAAACAAAACTTTACTAGGAAAGTAATAACATAAATGACTTATTCTTCAGAATTTCTGAATTATAGTCATAATAAACACATCAGTGTACTAGAACTACTGAAAAATTAAACAGCTTTTACTTTGGATATTCATATGTTTACAGATTCATTGCCCAAGATGTAGTCCAGCTCAGCTTCTGATAATATCAACAAGTTTAGCCGACTAAGTTGGAACTCATTAGTTTGGATATAGATTCGCATTTGAAATATGATTTATCCCAATCTTGATCTACCCTTATCTGTCAATTACTCTTATTCTCAATATTCTCAACAGGTAATTCCCATAGAGCAGAAATTTGACATAGATTCATATTGAGTTTAGTCTCAGATTATAATGAATATAATAATCGAAGAAGCTATTTACTATCACGTCACGAAATATAGATTCATGATTGATAGAAATAGAAAAGTGTTTAAAACGTCTGGTAATCAGTTTCTAACAATTAACGCTCACATTAAGCTGCGTTATCGGTCGAATGTAGAGCTCTTTATCGCTTAACTAAATCAAATAAAATTACTGAGGACAGTGATAATGAGTATACTAACGAGTAAATCAATAAATGTTTGAACCATTACTCATGAAATGATAGAATTCCATTGAGAAATGAATTATCTCAGTGAGAACAGAGGTCAAAGTTCTTTCATTGTTAAGAGGCTAGGTTTTCTCACTTTTTTCTTTCGATCATTTATAAAACGCAAAATTCGAGAGATTCACTAAGCATTATTCAAAATTTTAATCACAATCATCATCATCACTTACCTTTCAGATGCAATGATAACTACTACTGACTGTTTCTCAAAACATAGAATAACAAATCCGATAAACTTAAATAACGAACTTTAATCAAAAGTATGTTCAGCTTTTGTGTATCAGCAATGAACGAACTAATAGATACAAGTAATTTTTTAACAAAAACGAATTAATCCAATAAATGCGATGAATATGATCTTTTTTTATTGTTTTAGTCAGAATATTTTACTCGACATAATCAATGTCCCCGTATATAGTGATCTGACTTTTTCAAACAACCAATCATTAGGCAGCAAACGAAACAGATTCCAAAACAAGAGATAACTGGTTATATCATCACATTTTTTCATTGCGTGTCCGTACTTACTCACGAAGCCAGCCATGTTTCCATCTGTTCATTTGTAGTGAATGCATTTAAATTCATAGAAATACATATTGAGCATATTTGTGGACTGAGTAATGAGAAATAGCATATAACACACATCCATTTGTATATATATATATATCTAAAAATAAATAATACAAGATCTAAGTAATAAATCAAACCTAATCCCACGCAAGTAGATTTAAGCAATCATCATCTACAGTAAATAATAATGTAGTAAAAATAAATTTTTTTCAGTGGAATTTGCTTCTTTTTTTTCCTAACATATTTTGACTTTCCTGTCATTAGCATTAGTTTACTACAATGCTGTAGGTTTTGCATTTTGGTTGGTTCTATCAGTGTATCGTGTTCAATGTATGCCTTTTATCTTTGTAACTTGTTGACATTTTTTTTTGTTCTTGATTATTCTGACACACGAAAATAACAGCATTTATTTTTATAAATTCATTTATGAGTCTAGATAAAGAATATTTTTTGTAAATATTGTTGAATAAAAGTATGGTCAAATTATATATAGATATAATTTCTTGAAATTTTACCCTGAAACACAATCGTATTTATATATTTTGAACAGTGAACCAGCAGATGTTGTTATTGAATCAGTGATAAAGATAACAACACATGTGCTTAGAATAAACAAATTAAAACTATCATAATTATGTATTATTATTCATATGTGTGATAATAACTAAATAGAAAATATTTCAACTTTCCTCGTATGCTAAACTTTGGGAATGATAAACGTGGGATTTTTTTCAGGTTACTTAAATCTTGGATCACGTTTTGGTAAATTAGACAATGAAAGAGAACAACATGAACCTGAGAAATGTCTATCTCCTGGTGAGTAAAAAGAAAAATTGTTAACCAGTACAAATAGGTTGAAATTTTAGATTTAAAGACTTCTGAAGGAATCAGTCTGTCAATTAACTTATTATTAAAAAAATAATAATAGTAGGGTATTTAATAATAAGTCATGTATTAGTCTCGCTTAATGTATCCCGATATAAAGATGCTATAAACGAATGTTTTGGATTTTAATACCAGACCTGTGAGAGAGAATGTTTAGAGCTTTCTTCAAATTGATTCATCGTGCTTAAATATTATTAATAAAAGGAATACGTAATAAATATCGACAAGACGATCGCAATAGACCATTTTTAATAAATTTGTGGTATAAACCGATGTATTACAGCTTTCATTACTATGTTAGACCACTAATAACTGACTAACGAGAATAAGTGGAAGTATATGAATGTTGTGTAATTTTTCATTTTTCTATTAAAAGCTCATCTACTGAACTATACTTCCAGTCAAGTATTTTGTATAGATAACCATGTATATTTGGACAGAGATCTTCAAGTAAATGGTTCACTTCAGTAATCACTTTTGTACAATTATTGTTATCCTTTTAAAAAGGTTTAACATTAATTAAGTGGTCATTAGATTTCATTCCCACAAGATTAGCATGGCTCTAAAATCATATGGTAATTTCGCGATAATTTCTAATGAAATCAGATTTAGTGCCAACCTGATTGATGAATTTTCCTTCATCAAAGCTATATCAGTTAAAATTACACAGAGCAGATAATTAAACAGGATGTTTTTTTAGTGTTTCGGATTTGGTGAGATCCGAATGAAATTCAGGTTTTTATGACTTGACTTTAAGCATTAGGTAAATGATTTTCATTTTCATCAGAAATCTTTATTTTTCATTGAGAAAATGAAACTGATTCAACCGCTATTTATTTTTGCTTTATAATAAAAGATATTTCGTACTCGATTGAAGAATACAAAACATCAGATTTCCCTGTTATACACGTGGATTGTTTTATTGTTTTTGCACTTAAGTTTGAGAACTGAACGAGGATAGCAGAGTACTTCTAAATAGAAACGTTTGATATGTTATTATAATAGGCTCCTATGAGATTTATACTAACATGAAAATGGTAAAAATAGTATATTCTCACAGCTTGTAACTAGCATCAGCATATCCGTATCAAATAACGTATTGTTCTACGAAATTGCTTCACGTTGTTAATTTCTACTCCGTATAATGAAGTTAATTTATAGCGATCTGAATAGATTATAAGGATTAGAAGAAATGAACAAATGAAATTTTCCTCCTTTTTGAATCAGTGATTTCTAACAGCTGAAATTAGCTCACTTTCACATAGCAGTTCTGTTTAAAAACGGAGATTTTAATACTGAATTGTATTATCATTTCCATTTTGAGCTTACTATATTTCGGCATTCCTTTACACCTGATTTATTTTACAAGATTTGATTGACTTTAAATTTGCTTCAATGTTTTCACAAAAGTAAGAGATGCGAAATGGTTTTTGTTTTATAGATTGCCTGTTGATAAAAAAAGATGATTTCCAGAATTTATTAATATTTTCTCTAGGTGTGTATACCGATAAGCAATAATTAATTTTAGTCTAAGGAAAATGAAGAAATATGTTAATTTTAACAAGAGATTAATTATAATTTATTGCAAAATAAATTAATTAAAATAATGAATTAGTTTTTTAAAAAAATAAGTGTTAGGCAGTTACTTCAATGAATTCAACAGAAAATCATTCTTACAGTAGGAAAATATTGAAATATTATTTGGAAAATTAGGATTCAAAACAATTGTTTGAGTAAATAAACTTTAAAAAAAATTCAACTCTACTGGATGTTCAATAGTAAATTGATTTTTTGTTTTAGAAAAAAATTATTTTAATTCAGCAATATTTTTGACCTAGATACTGAATTATGATATTTTAAAATGCTGTTTTACAAAACAAAGAGATTGACGCTAATAACCTGTTTATTTATGAATCGCTCATTTTGAATTAATATGAATAAAGAAAACTGCATTTACTAGTTAGTTACTCGTTTTTCTCATTCATTTTATGTCGTTATCAAACACGAAAACAGGTATTTAGGAAGAAGTAAATGAGAATTTCATTGCTGAGAAGACTAGTTTGAATTGACAGACATATACAACACAGAACTTTGTACGTAAGTACATCAGTTCAGGTTGCCATACTACATCAGCACAGAGACACAACTGTCAGTTCAAATCCAAGAGTGATAGCGATAGTAGGAGTATTAGCAGTAAGGAGTGAAGATATGATTCAAGAAGTATAATTCAGTGAGATAAATTTAGACGGAGAAAGGTAGAGATTATGAGGAATTCAGAAGGTTAGAGAGAACATAAACAGTGGATGCACCTGCGCAATTGCAAACGCTTTTGAGCCATGTCGTTCAAGATCTCTAACCATTGATGACTTTCGTCTCGCAGACCCTAACCAGGTAGCCTACATCTACCAACATAACTCAGTCCACTTGTCAGTGACTTCATGTATTTGTGCCATGTTTTGGTTTGGCCACCAGTAGCTTTCTTCCAGCATACTCCTACACCACTAAACAGCGTCAAGGCAATCGCTGGTTAAGCATACATAACACATCTCCCAACCACCTCAAATGATGAATTTTCAATGCTTCACCTATTGATTTGCCATCCCTACCTAGTACTGGTTTCCTAACGACAGCATTGCCTATACGGTTGTCCCAGAATACGCGAGCAATACTTCAGAGACCTCGATGATCGAAGACTAGTAACCTACGAATGTCCTCTACTCTTAAAGGACATGTTTCGCATCCTTACAGTAGGACGGAGCGAACTGTTGCACAGTACACTCGTCCTTTGGTTAGCGAGCGGATATCTCGCCTGCACCATAAGTGACGCAGGTTGGCAAAAGTCAATCGAGCCTTCTGTTTACAAGCTGAGATTTTGTCAGTAACCAGGCCATCAGCACTGAAGTTTAAATTAATAAATCTATTTATGAATTACTTCATATTCAGAGAGAAGTGGTAGGAATCTAACATTATCTTTCTTAATATTGAACTGATACTACTAATTGCTGATATTAACTGCCAGTATGTACATCATCAATAGAAAAGTGTAATCAGTAGTTCATTAAACGCCATATCTATTCAAGACAATCTAAATAGCTTCACTGATCTAAAAATTATTTGTGTATGGTGTTGGGAATAAAAATAAAAGCTTGTCTATTTAATGACAAAGTAGTCAGTGCATTCTTTTTCTATTAGGTTAACTCTTTCTGTTGATCAATTTTATGCTGCAACTTCAATCAAAAAGTAACTTCGTGTACTACTGATGTAGAAAGAGTCAGTCCAAAATAAAACCTTCACTCTTAATGTGTTTAATGTCAGAAAGTTGTTATTTCGTTAAAATTAAACCTTTTAATTATGAACATTTGTATATACATTCGTAGTTTATTTAATATAAACAGAGAACTGTTTTCATCGAAACCACAACAAATTAGACGATGCAGAATAATTTTGGAAAATGTGATCTTTCTGAGCTCTCTGTGTTCAATCAATATGCAAACAAATTTTATTTTGTCTAAGTGTATTTTGCTGTTTAAGTTTTCTGCTGTTGATTCATTCAGTCAATCGGATTCAAAAACTGAAATCGAATGTAGTTTACAATGGTGCAAACCCAGTTGATTGTGTTTATGTTGACAGAAGAACAGCAGTGAAAAATATAATCAACGTTTACGCAGAACTATTTAAATTCACTAACACTAAGGTAGAAATAGTGAGGAGAAAATAAAATTTGATGTTTGGTTTCTTGTAAAGACCAAGAACGGATATGGTTGAGAAACACTTTCAGGCTGATATTAGTATATAAAAGATGCTTTTCCTGTAGACAAATTTTTGCTACATATTTATCAACAAAATCTTTCTACTGAATCGAAGAAGTTGAACAGAAATCAGTTATTCAAATACTCATAGTTTTTTCACTATCGGTTATGTCACTTACGTTTACAATCTACTTTTGTGCTAAAAGTTTATTATACAAATCTAGTAATAATAATAATAATAATAACATTAATCCTACATTTCAGTAGTGTTAAGATGAAATGAAAATGAAATAAAGATTGTTTTAAATTGTTTGAAAAAAATTTGCTTAGACCTCTCCCAAAATTTCAATAAGATGAAAAGCGCAAGTAAAATCATGTTAATATCAG